GATATTATTTATTGGACTACTGATACTGCGAGACCACTCCATAAAGTGTACAATTTAGACCACTGCTTAAATTGTTTTTATTAGTTGTCTACTATTAAAATTAATTATTCATATTTACATTATTTTGTCATTGTAATAAGATAATGAAAACGACAACGAAGATATCAATCACTATGACGATGATGGTACGACAAAAAATATCAATCAAATTAATTAAACGTTAAGAATTTGGTCATTTAAAATATAAATTACATATATCCAACATAAATACATGCAAGGCTAAGCGTCTTTATGCAAGCTTATAGAGTGGATTATTTTTAATCCTGGTGCTTAAAAGACTGAGCTCATGACTCCGGAAGTGATGTTTCTAACTGCACGACAACAGCAACTTCTTTATAATCTGGCGGATGATTTTGATGTGTGTTTGCGTCAGGAAAATATCAAAGAAGTGACGTTTGCCCTACCTGATTTGTTAACAGTTATCCTACCGAATACTCAGTACGTTCACGAATAATTGCGGGAAAAAACGTACTAAGTACTCAGTACAATAACACGTTAGGTAGTGCAAAACATCACTAATATAACGTATCTTGTAAAAGCTGGACCCTTGGTTAGTAGCTGTCCAGAAGGACTCCGTGTTCCTCGAGAGTGAACCCATAGCCCTGAATAAAGCCATCTTCGATCTAAATAAATACAGAGGGCAGATCTTAGATAAATTCAGAGCTACAAGTGTTAAAAGGCTACGTTGAACTCAACTTTATGCGCAAGTCATTGTTACAGTAATCTTATACAGTTCAAAAATGCTGCATCATAATAATTATGTGTACGTATAAATTTTTATAGGCCTACTGTAATTTATTCTGAAACCAATTAGTACTTTTAAGGAAATGTTGTATCATTTTATTGTCATTTACAATTTACAGCGCTTGTTTGATGGTCATAGGAGGATAGGCCTACATTACAATAATAGGTCCATGGCCATAGGATTCCACAATCTATCACGCACAATAGATAGACTTCATCAAGTTTTTTGTCCAAAGACAGGTAATGTGACCAACATTGGATTTAAGTTTGTGAGCTCTTGGTTAACATCCCGAAGCTTTAAAGCTGTCTCACTTCCAATATAAAACTAGCCAATTATTCGATTTTAATTTAGGTACTCGCCCACTGTTACCTCTCTCACGCCTAATATAATAATATATGAAACAGACAGAAAAAACACCAGAGTTTTTTATACCTGTGTTTATTCAAAATAGCAACCTTATTTAAAATACCCACATTATTAGTAAAACAAAAATATATAATTGCTCTTATTTATTTCCAGCCGTTTCCAGTCGTACCTTTTTGTAACCTCTCTCACGCCTAATATAATAATATATGAAACAGACAGAAAAAAACACCAGAGTTTTTTATACCTGTGTTTATTCAAAATAGCAACCTTATTTAAAATACCCACATTATTAGTAAAACAAAAATATATAATTGCTCTTATTTATTTCCAGCCGTTTCCAGTCGTACCTTTTTGTAATGAAGTGTATCGGATGTTATTTGAATCTGTTTAACCAAGAAGCCTCTGTGGTAGGTTATGACGCTCGTCTTGACAGCTAGAGGTCGCAGATACGCATCAAGTCGGAGGGATTTTATTACAGAGCTATGCTACACGATGTACCATCATGTCCATTATTTGAACACTGCAGTATTTAACTTTCTTTGATTGTTTATATATAATATAACAGTGCTTACGACTTTATTATTATA